ATCTTGCTTTTCCTCTGTCTCTGTCTCACTCTCTTCTCACTCTCTCTCCAGTGAGCACATGTGTCCTGAGGCAAAAACCTCTTTAAAAAAAATAAAATTAAGTTATATTTAGGCCTAGCCCTAGTAGCACACTGGCTGATTCTGCTATTTAGCAAGCTGAGGCCACATGGGTGCTGTAAGTTCCATTCCCAACTCACTCTCAAAAGCCAGGGGTGGTGGTATGAGCTATAGTCCCAGCTATTTGAGAGGCTGAGGCAGGAAGATAGAAACATAGTAAGAACGTGTCTAAAAACAATACACACACACATACATACACTCATATACACAGAGGAAGGTGCATAAGTCAGTAACATTATCATGTCAGGAATAACATACTGTACATGGTTGCATGTGCTACACTTTTGCATTACTGACAGCACAGGTTTGTCGACATCAGCATCACCATAGACACATGAGGAGTGTGTCGCACTCTGATGATGTTATCACTAGGCGATAGGATAAAATTCCTGTGAGATCACCACTGTGAAAGTGGTCGGTCATGGACTGAAATGTTGTGGTGTAGTGCATGGCAGTAGTTAATTAAATTATGATACGTCACAACAGTCAACAATTTCTACACATTAAAAACAAGTCACCATGCTGCATATGCTGGAGATCAAAGTACACCATGATGACTACAGTTAATAATGCTGTACTTGAAATCTGCTAAGAGGCTAGACCTTAAGTGTCCTCACTCCCAACACACATACAGATGGTAGCTATGTGTAGTGATTTTTGTGTTAATTTGGTTGTGGTCATCATTTCACGATATACTGGGGTGTTGGGAAAGTCAAGACTCATTTTTGCATAGAGAAACATTGAAAAATATGTCATGACTTTCTCAACAACCTAATACATACATCAAATCATCACAATGTAGACCTTGAACGTAAACCATTTTCTTTGTCAATTATACTCCAAGAAAGCTGGAAAATAATAGTTAAATCTACATTGACCAACTGGAAGAATTTTCATTAATTACAATAAGAACTAACCCATTTTGGAAAGTAGATATGAATGGAACAACACTTACTTATACAGATGCCTATCCATATGCTTATATAATTAAATGATAAAGGAAATACAGTATGACAGGATGCATGCTAAATTCTTAAAAGGGCTAACTATTGAGATAAGGATTAGTTGCTAAAGTGAATAGAGACGTACATAAAGGTTACTCTTTTTTTCCTTTTTGTTTTTAAAATTTTGCTGTAGGGCATGTGAACTCACCAGAGAGAGATAACAGAAAGAAGGAGCGAGAGACAAGGAAAGTGAGAAAGCACCCCCAAAGGAGGTAACCATACCACAGTCTCTTCTCCATTCTCCTCTCGGGAATTTGAGCGTGTATGCACACGCATCCCGTGTGTTTCTCAAGCCACCAGGTCTGAGACTCTAACTAGGCATTTGGCCCTTGCTGTGTGGGATCCAGCCACCTTAACCAACACACTACCATATACCCCAAGGCCATTCTTTTATCATCATGTGCTTTTATCAATTCAGCTGCCGGGCTGAATGGTCTTATAATCTCATTCTGCCTCTCTACAGGCTCTCATGGTAGATGAGAAGCAGCAACATACTGTAATATTAAGAGCCTAAATTCTACAACTTCAAAGCCTTAGTGTAAATCTGGATTCTACTACCAATGACTATATAGCCTAAGAAGGGTACTTAAACTCCCTCGGGGTCCGATTTCTCATCTGTAAATGAGAATGTAATAGTGCCTATCTCACAAGTTTCTTATGAGAATTAAATGGTATGTAAAAAGCTTAGAACTATGCCTGTCACTGTTCTAAATGTTGATGTGTGTCACTGTAACCATTAGCTTACCAAGTATTCGGCATTAAGTAGCTTCTATAGCAAATAATGGTAATGATGATGACGATGATTAAGTCCTATAGACAAAACATAAATCCAACAAACAGGAGTTCCAAGAAGAACACTGAAAGGATTCGAAGCAGAGTCTAAGATTAACATGCTGAGTGTCCATGAGGAGGCAAGAACAAAGTGAGCACAATGAAAAAAGAAAAGACTCAGACCCACCCAGCAAGACGAGTCAGGTTGGGTTAAAAACGATCTGGAGTCAGAATGGAACTGGACTTCTCCATAGACATACCCAGAAACCTGGCCATCTTCGTCATCACCCGGGATTGTGCAGCAATGCCGTATTCTGAATTAAGGAACATGGAAGCAAATCCAAGTGTGTACAAGAAGTTAGAACTGGAGTGTAGGAAAGGGAGGAAGAAGGAATTGGAAAAGGCTTGAGCACACAGAGAAACCATAGTGTTGGATATTCAAAATTGCTACTCAAGCAGCCTGCTTATTCACATAGACATCTGTTAAGCACCTAACCTCCAAACCTGTTTTCTCTACCTAACATTTTTCTCTACCTAAAAGGCCTTCCCACAGGAAGCTGCCGCAGATGCCTAAGACAATACTTGACATGACAAATGATGCTCAGTAAATATCCATCTAACTTTTTCTCCCCAATTTTTACTTTTTTAGCAATTTCTTTTTAAGTGTGGGTCAGGAAGGACATAGAAATCTGTATTGCTTAGTTTACCTTTTAAGTTCTTGGTAGCTGAAACAGAAGGAAAAAATTAGGACTGCAAATTCAAATTCTAGTCATTTTCTCTTTCAGTATTGAAAAAGAGAGAGAGAGACCTTGAAAGCAATTTCTACTTTTTCCTGAAAACTCTTATTTGAGCTTTAGTGACCAGCAAAACTATTGGATTCACCTGCGAAAGAGCTGGGAGGCCATCTAAACAACACAGAAAATGATCAGAACTTTATGGCATTCATTTTAGAAAGAAAAATAAATTCAGATAAATGAATTTACAGAAGTAAATATCCAAGTAAAATGATTTACTGTTTGATGCAGAAATAGCAGTAAGCAAAGGGCCAGAAAAGGCATAAATAAATAACAGGAAAGTTATTTTCAGAATTTGTTTACTTAATATTTATCACTGAAGTCAAACATTAGAGGGCCATTAAAGAGACTCTCCGCATTACTCTACTTAAGCATGTAGAGTCTGTAAGTAGTACAAAGATAAATTACTCATCTGGGCCTCCCACACAGCTGTTTATTCATAGGGTACATATGAAAGCACAGAATTACATTACAGGTTGTTTTATATGGGTCTGTCTAGATTGTCGCAGCAGGGAAGACAAGGACATTTGGAAAAGGCCTTATTAAAGTGTGGTACTTAGCTTTGAGCATACAGTGGATGTTCAATATTTTCTAAAGAACAATGAAATTATTTGTTAGACAATCTGATCTAAAAACCAATCAGTTCAATGTGCAAAAAAAAAAAAAAAAATCAAATGAAGCCTGTAAGTTTTAGTATGTCTTAACAGCAAAAATAGTCCTAGTTAAACCAATTGTCCTATGAATCAGGTCAAAATGAATCAGCTAATGAATATTTACTTACTCAAGTGCCATGCCTAATATTTATAGTAAGTTTTACCATAACCTCCATGCAAAGGAAATAACGGACCATGAACGGACTAGCAGTTTAGAATAAGAGTACTGATTCCGGCTATATAGGCATGCTAACAAGTTCAAGATATTCCATTTCAAATATAATCTACCACCAAATGACAGCTAAATCAATCTTCGGGTTATGATGTAAGATCAAACTCTTTCTGAAAACTATTTTTAAAACTACACAGACACATGTATTATAATCTTGTGGAACATATGTATTAATTTTATTTTGTAGCTGTAGCTCAACTCCTGATTTGCATCCAATTGGATGGGAGAATTTTCAGGACAGGTAAACTCAAAACACCAGCCTCCAAGACCCTCATTTTACAGACTGAGAAGAGCTCAAAGCAATTTCTTCAAGGTTAAACAGGAATGTGCACATGTAACCCATGCCTTGGGACGTTTTTATCTTTGTTTCCAGTTCTTAACCCACTAGCAAAAGAGAGGAGAGGAGTCAAATTGTGTGTTCTCAATTGCCAATTACAGATTGACAGAATCCTAAATAAACGTTTGTATAAGTAGCATAATTCGTTTTGTGATTTACCTAAAAGGGTTAAAACAAAGGTAATACATTTAAATTTGCCTAGTCATAGTATTTACTCATCAAGAAAAATTAGAGTAAATAGGAAATGAACCTTATGGTGAATTTCACTACTAGTCTTCCCAGGTAAAATATTCTGTCCCTAAACCACCGTCGTTTGAAATCATTTTTTAAATGTTTTACAGGGTTGTCTTTCTTCTATCTATAACCGTCTGGTTTGATTATTCACGTATTCGTTTTTGTAACTGAAATCCTTCAGTCTGTCTTCAGCTGGGATGAGTTTTCCAGAAAAGCAGCACTGGACAGGGCAGAGAGCAGAATATATCTGTAGGAAAGTTGGAGAGACAGAGGGGGATGGGGCCGCCGACTGAGGAAGGGAAAAGTGAAAGGCGATGGAGGGAGTTTCTCCCCCTCCTCCCCTCTACCAGGAGCACCCCCGGTCTCAGCAGGGGCGCACAGCAGGGGCGCCGGGCTGTCTGTCCTCCCATGCCCTTCCCTTTCCCAGCTGGCCTGGGCGCGGGGGCTGCGCGCTCTGTCGCCTGTCATCCCGGGCCAGCTCCGGGCTGCGATTGGACGCGCCGCCAGGCACAGACAGAAGCACAAACGCTCTGCGAAGAGGAGCGTTCCAGCGAGTAGAGGGCTTTGTCTTTTTAACGTCCCCTCCTCCCCTCCGCGCTCCATGCCGGGTCTCTCTCTGCAGCTTGCCTGTGCTGGCTGGCGTGGCAGGAGAGTTGGCACAAACCTCGCCGCTGCCGCTGCCTGGTTGCCCGCGCGCCTCTCAGCCTCCCGCAGCGCCCGCCGCTCCCGCCATGGGGCCAACTCCGGGCTCCTAAGAGTTGCAGGCTCTTAGCAGCAGCTGCCCTGTGCTGGCTGGCGTGGCAGGAGAGTTGGCACAACCCTCGCCGCTGCCGCTGCCTGGTTGCCCGCGCGCCTCTCAGCCTCCCGCAGCGCCCGCCGCTCCCGCCATGGGGCCAACTCCGGGCTCCTAAGAGTTGCAGGCTCTTAGCAGCGAGCTCTCCCGCCAAAGTCCCCGCAGGCGGGATATGGCTTAGGGCTCCAGAGGGGTCAGTCTAGAGATAACAGGACAGAGCAAGGACAGGTACTAGGGGAAAAAGAGAGGAAAAAAGAAAAGCCGAACGATGAGTTTCCACAAGGAGGACGGAGTGAGCAGCCTGTGCCAGAAGGCGCTGCACATCGTCACCGAGCTGTGCTTCGCGGGCCAGGTGGAATGGGAGAAGTGCTCGGGCATCTTCCCCCCGGACAGGGGCAGCCAGGGCGGAGGCAGCACAGGTAATGAGGGCTCCGTGGTGTCCCCGCGAGCCGCCAGGACCAGGCGCGCTCAGCTCCCCGGGGCTCTGGTCCTGCGAAACCCGCGCCGAACCCCACGCATCTCTGGGGCACCGCGTCTTCCTACCTCTCTCCTTGCTTGGGCTCGGCTCCTGGCGACTTCGAGCGGGGGTGTCGGGGTTTGGGTCCTCTCTGCCTGTCCGACCTCCAGGGTGGGTGCTCCCCACCCGCCGGCGCCATCTCTGGCTCCGACTCAGGCACTGGTCTGGGCGCTCTCCTACGCCTCTGGCTTCGCTCCGGCAGGGGAGAGGCTAACGAGGCGGCGCGGGACGGCTGGCGGGGGCGGCTCGCCTCTGGGACTTGGGCTGCTCACGCGTCCCCAGGGTCGCGGGTTTGTCGAAGGGGACCGGCGGGAGAGGCTATGCCCAGGCTCCAGGGACCCCCCTAGCAAACCGGGCTGCTTTGGTCCAGAGAGGGGAAAGGACCCCTGAGAGGCAACCGCGACTGCAACCTGTGGAGCCCTTGATGGTTTCCAAAGACCTTTTCATACGAACGATGTTCTAGGCCTTGTGACAGAGTTGGGCGGACGGCAGAGAACACTGATCCCAGTTTTTAGGTGGCACCTGATGCTCAGGGCACATGTTGAGGAAGTGGAAAGAGGGAAGAAGTGGGAAATCTTTCCCCACACGCTCTCATACACCCGCACCTAACTCACAAGCTCCCTCCCTACCCGCTCCGGAAACTTGGAACAAAATGGGTCAGAGACCAAGACGGAAAGGCAGGACAGATTTCTGGGGGAACGCATTTCAGCCTCGGGGCGCGGGTGGCAGTGCCTGGCCTGCTGCGCTGCGGCCGCCACTCCAGAGCCCCTACTGAGGGTCACTTGTTGCACCGAGACACACACTGGTTTTGGGTTTTTGGCATTCGCAGTGTCGCGAGTCTTTCCTTTTGCTGTCAGATTGGTCCTCCAGTGGAGTTTGGTTGTGGTAGCCAGGGCAACAGGTAGGAACCAGACCCCCAAGGTGGGGACGAGGAGCAACAGAGCAAGCCGGGTCCACTGGGCTGGGGCAGAGAAGACGCGCTCAGTAAAACCCCCTCACTCCACCAGCACGCGTGGTCCGAGACCAAGGGGGGCGACGCGCGGTGGAAATGGGTTTGGTTTGGCCTCGACACATCATTATTTACGTGGAATATCTGCAGAATTTTCCAATTCTCTGGTCATAGCAACAGGAGCCAAGGGAGGCTTCTGTCTGCCCTAGGCAGAACCTGAGGAGATGCTGCTGTCGGTCCCTGGGGAGAAGGAGACAGGATGGCTGCTTGAACAGGCTGGGCACTTCGTTTGTGAATGTACAAACGCAACTGGGAGTTCGCTCCATTTGTTCAGTGTGTGTTTCGTTCCTGTAAGTGTAGCCAGCGCAGTGATCAGGGGAGGGTGGGGTGCACTGTCCTGCATGTGAGTGCCCTGTGTTGGGCCGCTAAGCTTGAGGTAAAGACCCCCACAGTGTGACCTTGGAGCTTCCTGTGACATGGGATGGGCTCTTCTGAAATGTCTTCAGTGACACATATGCTGAGGATGAGACTCAGAGAAGGGGGACAGGGAGGAAATGACGGTATGCAAGTTTGGGAACCTGAGTTTTGCTCATTTAACAGTTTGATGCTGTGAGTGAAATACTGACTCTAACCAATGCTCACCCCTCAGTGAATGTACTATCAAATAGTGGCTTTCTGGATCTCAGATTGGTGAGCAGTGAGGAAAATGGGTGAAGGTTGGAAACCAAAGACTAGTTTCTAAATCTTTCTAAAATACACAACTGTATTAGCCTAAGGTATATGATTGGAGAAAGAGTTCTAAGTTTTTTCTTAATTTCTACAAGAAGTAGTTATTCTAAAATCTTTTTGGACTTTACCTTGGGAACAAAAAGCGAGAGGAAATTAGTCTAAAACAATTGTGTGGATATTATTTCTCTCCTTAAGGAAAAGCATAACCTCTCCAAATGGAGAATTTGATTGAACATACAAATATATATACGTGTGTCTGTGTGTGTGTGTGTGTGTGTGTGTGTGTGTGTAGAATAGCTATCCATAGTGAAGACATTCTATTAGGTTGTTTATGAGATATGAAGTTAGACAAGATTTCTTTACATTTTCCATTTGCAAATCTATGCAACAGAAGTAAACTACTTTAATCTGCCAAGAGACTTCCAATATGGATAGATATCTGAAGTGGAGTTAAAGAACATTTAACAAATGTATAATTAGCCAACTTCACACTGTTCTCTAAAGTAGGTTTTCTTAAAACTTAACCACTTGTGCCCCTTTGTAAAGGTTTCCAAGTGAAAGCACTTCCAGTGGGTGAGCCTTCTTGTTTCATGAGAAGTGTGTTAGTGGTAAGAGGACCCTGACAACTTCTAATGGTACAGTAGTTTTTTACTTTAAAGTGAATCTGCACTCCCCAGATGGTGTCAGTTATTCAAATGTTGCAGTGGCGATTACAAACTTCAAAACTGTATTTTTCATTCCTTCACTGAGGCATAGAATCCTTCTACATTAAGGGAGTAAAGAATCACACATGTAAGTAAAGTAATATCCTACTGGCTTTTAAAATGTCAATAAAGAGCAAGCCTCACCATTTCCTTTCCCTTAACAGCAGCAGCAGAAAGGACTGCAGCTTTATTGTCATTGACAATCCAACAGGAAGTCGAACAATCTCAGACTTTAGTGAGTATGTGAAGACTCTGGCTGTGGTAGCCAACACTAAATAATTTACTATTTCAAAATAGTTTATTGGGGCCATCTTATGCACCAACATTAGTAGTAAACAAGAAAGTTCAACATATGTAATTTTTAGAAAATCAAAAATTTTGGAGTCGTTTTACCAATGATTCTCCCTTTCCCTCAAAATAATTATATCGCTCACTAACTTCATCTTGATACACAATATGATTTAATAGTAGAATGCCTAGGGCAAATACAAAGCAATATGTTGATCTCAAATGTTATTTTTCAGATCAACCTTGACTGAATATACACAAAAATTTTGGAACTGGATTTAGGTTCATTTCTGGTGAGCCTTTAATCACTGCTCAAATGTCTAACAATCTCAGGAAACCTAAGGTTGGCATCATAAGTCACAGCTAATCAAACCCACTCAAACTCACTAGAGCTAACTTCATTTAAATATTTTAATAATCATTTAATTTATCAATATTTTAAATTTACATTTTTCACCATTTTTATTTAGGACTAAAAATTCTTAAAAAGTTGGATAAATTGTTAAAAAGTCATACTATGTTCTTCAGTTTCTTAAATGTGAGGACAAAAAGTAGGTACAGGGCAAAAAACAATTTCACTGAATTACTTAACTAGCAAGAAAAAGATTGCTCAGTAAAACTTAGAAAGTTACATTATGATTTTCCTTTGAGATCAAGGCATTTTGATTCTGTGATAAAGGACTTAAAATGAATAGGAGGACTTTATAGGATTTTTTTCCTACAAACAAAAGACAAATGACTGCCTATTATTAATAATTTAGTTATTTTCTATCATCATTTTTCTGAATTTTTCAGATCCTAATGATTGTATAAAGAATTACAATTTATAAGTATATATAAATGCACATTTTTCCTTGAGACCTGTAGGTCTGAAAAAGAACAATTAAATCACAAGGAACTCAGAACTACAAGCCCATTTAAAGAAGGGTATTTGAAAAAATTTTTCCTTTACTCCACATTGTCACTCTAATGACAAATGACCAACTGCTACTTGCAGTCTCATTGTCACAGGATCATCAATACACTCTGTACCTGGTCTCATATACTCCAAGGAAGTAGGACTATCTTCAAAGGGCAACCAAGTTTCAGCAAACATCTATTTTTAATTCTGGAACATCAATATGTTGTCAGTATTATTTATTTATTTATTTATTTATTTCATTATTTACTTATTTGTTTATTTTTGGAGAGGTTTTTGCAATAGGGCGCGTGCGCTCTCCAGAAAGACAGAGAGAGACAGAGAGACAGAAAGCAAGAAATCACCCCCCCAAGGGGATGGCCACGCTGCAATCCCTTCTCCTCCATTCTCCTCTCGGGATCTTGGGCACGCATGCACACGCGACCGGTGTGAGTTTTAAGCCACCGAGTCTGGGACTCGAACTGCAGTTAACTACATGGGAGTCCAGTGACATGGCCATTATGCCAACTGCTGGTCCCAATATTTTGTCAGTATTGATGCCTAGAGAAATCTATGGTTTATACTAGAGACCCAGTAAATACTGATTAAATAAATGAATGAATGAATTATTGATTTATCACTTAGAAACTCAATTTCCTTATTTCTAAAATAAGGGGTCCTATTTAATAATCCCTAAGTCTATTCTGAAATTGAATTATAAATACCTATATCATAACGTTTCCAATGTTTAATGCAATATTATATATAGATAGGCATATAAAATATTAAGATTATATTACCAAAAATTAGAACATTTAAGACATTTAAAAGCTATAATTTTTTAAAGAATTATTTATTTAATTTTATTATTACTATAGGGCGCATGTGCTCACCAGAGACAGACAGAGAAGAGAGAGGGGAAACAGAAAGCAAGACACCAGGTTCTGGACTCAAATCACAGTTGGCCATGTGGAAGTCCACTGCATTAACTACCACGCCACCTGCTGGCCCCTCAAAGCTATAACTTAGTGAGAAACATAAACATCTGAACACCATATAAATAATCCATTGACTTTCCTCAGACTTTCCTTTTTAGGTACTGTACAATTTAAGCACTCAGTTTATTGAAGTTCTAGAAATGTAGAAGTATCTGTTTAAAATATTCATTTACAACAGTAAAGAAAAAGTCATGCTAGTTTGCTTAAGTAGACAGTGGCATGAGAGGGCCACCCCATAGCCTAGTGATTAAGGGAACCAGATCCCAAAAGGCTGACCATGGTTTGAACCCTGGCCCCACTGGCTTGAAAAACATGCATGTATGTGTGCATACCCAA